CCTAGCAGCATTTGCCTTTTGGAGTGATTTTCTCACTTCGTAATACACACTTTACAGCGGAACCTAGGCAATTACTTAGTTAGGAGTCTCGCTATTGCGTTGCAGCAAAATCTTATCAACTTTGGATTTGGGTGGACGCGAAATCGCCATTCAACGTCTATTGCTTAGGTTTACTATAACAACGACATGAAGACGGCAGATTACATTGAATGCGACGAAGAAGAAAGTCTCGGATGCAGCGATCGCTACATCGACAAATCATTCAATGATCATCATCGATATTACAACGTCTACATCTCCAGATGGGGAGAAGCTGGTTGTGTTGGTAACCCTGCAGACCCTACAGGAGTTCCATGAGTTTGTGGTGGTTCTAGGAAATGAATCTTGGGTAGTGAAAAATTTTGGCAACTAAATGGAAAAGTTCTTTCAAAAACTGTGAACTTATCATTTGAGAATGATCTCGAACTTGAAAAGAGTATGATGAAAGCAACGAAAAGTTCCAAATATCTAGACTAACAGCATGAAACGACCTGTTCATTCTTCATACTGTAGGATTACGGTACCAGCAGCTGCCGAAAATTTTGAGCAAACATTAAGTAGAGGATTTCAACGCTACGGTAATTACGTTATGTAAATTCATTTGTAAGTTGACAGCCCTCAGTTATACCAATAGATTCTCCAAGGACCTCAGAGCAAGAAAGTACTTAACTTTACGATATACAACTCCGAGTTTATAACTAAATGTGAGAATTGCAGACAACGCGCGCTACTTTACGACATGTAATATTAGAAAATGTCGATTTTGCGATTTCTCGTCATTTTTGTCTCTTTATGGTTTGATTTAATATGCAGTAGATAGTAGTACACATTCCAACAGTTTGCTAGCTAGAAAAGATATCACTGACAAATTAGCAGAAAAGTGTCGTCGGTTGCCGCGAAGTTACGAATGACTCGCGCATTGTTTTACAATGTAAAGTGAAAAGATGAAAAAAATGAAATGAAATCTCAAATGAAGCGTAGACTAACATATAGGTCTCGTTTATTTTCATG